AAAAAAAAAAAAAAAAACCTGTAAGAAACTCGAAAAGTCGGAAGGGAAAGTACTTCCTCCCTTGTGTTTCCCAGATAGAACCTTTCTCTTCTAGCCTCCTAGCACTTGAATGCATGCTTGTATGTATATCGCTTTTCTTACAACATGGAATAGCATTTAGCAAATGACTTTAAAAAACATCTCAACCGTGTAGTGTCTGCATTTTACATGTCCTCTTATGTCAGGATTTCTCCGTCTCGACACTATTGACATTTTGGTCCAAATCATCTTTCTTGTAAGAGGCTGTCCTGTTCAGTATAGGATGTTTCACAGGATCCCAGGCATCTACCCATTAGCAGTACGTCCCCCCCCCCTCCCCCGACAATTGTGATGATCAAAAATGTCTCCAGATGTTGACAAATGTCCCCTGGAGGGGAAAGCACCCAGCTGAGAACCACTACTCTACACAGATAGTAAGAATGCCAATACCCAGCATTTCTCGAGGGCTGATGGTACAGCATGCATTATTCTCTGCCTTTTATACGTGTTGACTCACAGCCACCCCATAATGTCTGTACCATGACTGTTCACCCTTATTTCTCTGGTGAGAAAACCCAGGCCCAGAGAAGTTAAGCCACCCACCTGAGGTTGTCGTGCCAGTAGGCGACACACGCCCGGCATGTCTGGCTCCGGAGCACTCTTAAATAGCGTCATCTTCTGCCTCATTCTCTCTACCCCACGTTCCCTCGAAGGGCTGCACAGCGTCCCATTGAATGGGTGTTTGCAGTTTAGTTTCCCAGAAGCCTCTGCCGATGCTTACATGTGTTCACATTTCACAGTATAAGCGTGTAACGCGGCGATCGGTACTGCATGTGTAGATCCTTGTGCGTACATCTTTGCACACGGAAGTGTGATCGTTGACTCAAAGTATAACACATTTAAAATTCAGCTAGATGCTACGAAATTGCCCTTTGAGGAACGATTGTTTAATGTTCTATGTCATTCTTTTTCCTTATTTATTCTTTCATCCACTGGCGTGACAGGGTCCAATCCTGTTTACAGCCGGGAGCTTCTAGTCCTGAGTGCTTTATCCAGACCACTGCTGCTTTTAGGAACAACTAAGAGGCTTCCTGAACCTTGACTCACTGAACTTGGGTCCTTCGCAACTGGCCTCAGAGCAAAGCGTTGAGCACATTTTAACGTGCAGTTGGCAGGCTTTTCTAGGTCTTCATATGACAGACTTTTTGGTAACGTGCTGTCAGGGGTGTTCAGGGAGACTTGGGGGAAGTGGGCCTTAGCCCCTAGCTTCTGTGAGAACGGAGGGCGCAGCAAAGATGGGCAGGGAACGTGGGCTCCTCTGTGGCAGCAGGACTAAGGAGTAGGAGCTTGGGGACAGGATTTGCACTAGAAATGAGCCTTATTTATTGTCTCTGGGGCTCAGAGGCTGGGGTTGGGGCCTGTCTGTTTGCTCAGTTCAGCAAGCGATTAGCAGCATGAGCTGGAGAGATCTGGGCTGGGATCCCACTTCTGAGAACTCATTTAAAAATGTGTGCCAGGTAGGGCTCTCCTGAGTAAACACTTGCTTTCTTTTCTAGGCTCACCAAAAATGAACTCGATGATGAAGTGGCAGAGAGCTTGGCAGAGATGCTGAAAGTCAACCAGACGTTGAAACATTTATGGTAACTCAGAGAACCTCAGAATTTCAGGCTGTGCTACTTTTATTTATTATTTACTTTTCAAGTTTTTTTTTCAATTTTTACTCTAGTTAGCATACAGTGCAGTATTGGTTTCAGGAGCAGAATTCAGTGATTCATCACATGCAACACCCAATGCTCATTGCAACAAATGCCCTCCTTAATGCCCATCACCCATGTGGCCCATCTCCCACCCGCCTCCCTCCATCAACCCTCAGTTTGTTCTCTATGCTGAAGAGTCTCTTCTGTCTTACTTACCTCTTTCTTTTCCCCCCTCCCATATGTTCATCTGTTTTGTTTCCTTTTTTTTCTTTTTGAGTCCTTTTCTTCCTTCCTTCCTTCCTTCCTTCCTTCCTTCCTTCCATCCATCCATCCATCCATCCATCCACCTTCAAGTTAGTTAACATACAGTATAGTCTTGGCTTCAGGAGTAGAACCCAGTGATTCATCTCTTGTATATGACACCCAGTGCTCATCCCAACAACTGCCCTCCTCAATGCCTGTCACCCATTTAATCCACCTCCCAACCCCACCCCTTCCAGCAATCCTCAGTTTGTTCTCTGTATTTAAGGGTCTCTTATGGTTTGCCTTCCTCTCTGTTTTTATCTTATTTTTCCCTTCCCTTCCCCTATGTTCATCTGGTGTGTTTCTTAAATTCCACATATGACTGAAATCGTATATGTCTTTCTCTGACTGACTGATTTTGCTTAGCATAATACCCTCCAGTTCCATCCACATTGTTATAAATGTCAAGATTCATTCTTTTTCATTGCCGAGTAGTATTCCATTTTATGTTTGTACATCTTCTTTATGCATTCATCAGTCAATGGACATTTGGGTTCTTTCCATAATTTGGCTATTGTTGATAGCATTGCTATAAACATTGGGGTGCGTGTGCCCCTTTGAATCAGCATTTTTGTAGCCTTTGGGTAAATTCCTAGTAATGCAATTGCTGTGTTGTAGAGTAGTTCTATTTTTCATTTTTTGAGGAATCTTCACACTGTTTTCCAGAGTGGCTGTAGCAGTTTGCATTCCCACCAGCAGTGCAAAAGTGTTCCATTTTCTCCAACCTCTGTTGTTTTCTGAGTTGTTCATTTTAGCCACTCTGACTGGTGTGAGATAATATCTCATTGTGGTTGTGACTTGT